GACATGAAAATTATAACAATGACATAGATGTGCAGTTACAATTAATAAGTGGAGTTCACTCAATCACGTGTTAGGTTGTAATTTGTTGGTAATACCATATGCACATAATAACATGTATCACCATAATTCTAAAATTTTACTTACACTATATTGTCTTATTTAAATTAAACATGTCATTTGGTCACAACTTGAAAATCCTTCCATTTAAGTCAGACTTCTATTTTTTTATTTTTTTATTTTTTTCCCATTCAAAATGTCAACTTAACCGCTCATACTTTAAAATATTGATTTGAAATTATGTGGACATCAAGGTTTAAAGAGAGATTTATTTATAAATCTCATTTAGCGAACTTATAGCCTAATTGATTTTGAACAGTAATGAAGTCAAAGATTAGAAGTGTAAGGAATTGTATATTTTAGAGATCAAAGTGAAAAAATTAAGAGATTTGTATTGATTGTATATTTTGGATACTAAATTAATAACTAAAGTGTCATATGTTTTAAAGATTTTTAGTGTAACTAACCCAACTAACGATAATAATAATTATAATAACATGAAGTTTAATCAAATACTTGTACCTTTCACCAAGAGTATTCGTTGCATAACTGTTTTCCAAACCATGAAATCCAATTCAAAACCCAAGCCAGGAACTCAATTGGAATAACGTACACACTAGGGTTTAGTATTCATTCGTTGCCTTGTTCAAATTGGGTAAAGCCTCAACTGTAACTGTTAAGGAATTCTTGTCTTGATTTTCAAGTCTTCTTTTCTTGTTTTTTTTGTTTTGTTTGGACACAAACATATCAGCATTTGGGTTTCCTGCTAGGTAGCTTGTCATGGAAACAACTTAGCTTAGCCTCAAGCTAAAGCAATTGCTTTCTTTATATACAAAAGATATGAGACTGTAAACTCATGCCAGACATCATTAAACCCGATTAACAAAATGTCCTACATGTCTAATTAGTACTAAATACTATGTTCTTTACGAAATTTAGGCATCGTTTGTCAACTATATATCTTAGTCCAAAAGTCAAAAAGTCGCTATAAGTTGTCACATTACTCTCTCTACTTTTCTTTACATCTTTTTGTAAAAAGTCAAAAAATTACTAAAATTATTTGTTCCCAAATGAGGCCTTGTTAAGAAAAGGGCAAGGGGCTTTTTTTTTTTTGTCAGTTACATGAACTATATTGCATGCACACCACGGATTCATTTTCGAAAAGTATGTTATACATAATTTTATTTCAAAAAATACTTAGAATTTGTATGTAGAATTTATCACAAAAATGATGTCATTTTGACATTTTTATAATTAAATATCAATTTAATAGGCATTTTGTTTAAAAATAATAACTTTTGTGGTCATTGGTTATGACCAATTGTAATATTTGTTATAATTTAGTTATGAGTCATTATCGTGTTAGTTATAATTTATTATAGTTGTTATTTTGATTATGATCGAAAAGATTTTTCGATCTACCTGTGTTTGGTTATCACTCATTTCGGTATTAGAGAAGTGTTTGGATGTGCAAGGTGCATACCATATGCACTTGCTTAAATTCTCACAAATATATATAAGTTAGTTCACAAAAATACGTAAGTTCTCACAAATATTTATGAGTTGTGATTTCTCAAATTTTTATGAGTTAACTTACATATATTTGTAAAAACTTAAGTAATTTTGTGATGCAACTTACGTATATTTGTGAGAACTTACGCAAGTACATATGGTATACACTAGCACACTTGAGAACTGTGACGCCCCGAATTTACACTATTGGTTGCAGTCAAGGGAGAGTCACTAATGAGTCCTATGGTCAATAACCAAGTAAGATCCCAGATCGCCGGAGGAGTCAAATTAGCCTCCCTTCTAAGTCCGACTTTCGTAGGTAGCGTACTACCCTTTTGACAGATCTTAAAAGGTATTGACGCAAGGTCTCATAAGCAACGATAAGGTGTATACATATAAATATTAGAATATAAATACAAAATAATCACGAATATCCTTAATTTTAAAAGCTTGTTCTATTACATTACATCCCAAAACGAAAATTTAAATCTTCATATGAGCCTTATAAAATATCAAAAGAAATTTCTAACTTTCCTAAGGTAGCCAAAAGTCTTCGAAGGTTTCAGGCTCGTCGTCTCCAGCTAGAAACTCCTCTTTGGCACCTGGCATGATACGCCGTGAGTTTTGAATGCCCAGTAAACACACACACACCCCGCCCCTTTTTTCCAGTCCAATACATAATCACAAATATAACCTCAAGTAGTAAAGCATGATACTCAACTAAATAAATAAAGGGTTACAAGTTAGATGTTAGTAAACTAGAAATCCCCCAAAGAGATTTTGTCCTCCCAACCACAAGAATCGGACGCGGATTATTCGGTATGCTCCCTCTTTTGCTGCTTTGTTGCAGAACTAACCTCGGATGTCTACCAACGGTTATATACCGCGTAGCGCCACCGCAGGGCCTCAAAAGAGATGGTAAAATAGGGCCTTGCCCAAATCCCTCCTCACATCAAACCTTCTAGGGTCCGAATACAACCGCTCCGTTCAAGGGTTCCGAAAACCACTTGCGCAAGACTTAACTTCCAAATAGGGAACGCATCCCAACAATCCATACATCACACATTATCACCTTTTCATTACTCAAGTGATCGAAAATCCAATACCATCCCAATTAAATTTTCCGTTGAGTTAAATATTTTAAATCAAGGTTAGACCAACTTAAGAAGATAATAATATCCACATAAGCATGCATCATTAAGATGAAGAAGATAAAGAACATAACCATAACACATATAATATCATGCCAAGATATGATCATAAGCTAATAAGCATTGTTATGAACACAAGAGCATAAAACATCCATGCACAACAGAATTTCCAGATTCAATATCACATAAGGATTAGAATGAAAAGGGCTATTTTAGAATTTTTACTGGACTCGGCCTTCCTATGGTTCGTAGAGAATTTAATCTAGTTTTCAGTACATATTTCGGAAATGGGATAGCTTTTCTAGATTTTAAGTTATTTAGAAAACACTCCAGCGCTGTCCAGATTCGTCAACCGTTACAAAAATTTGATTTTCTTGCAAACCACTCATTTTTTTCCAATGAAACCAATTTTAGTTGAAATATAACTCCTTCAGGAAGATTTTGACATAAAATAGAGGTCCAGAATAATTTTCTACATTTTTCTAGAATTTCTGAAAGTTGGCTGCGAAAACAGATTCTAAGGCACGATACCCAAAACAAGAAGATTTGTGAGAAAAATGATCCACTAAGGGAAAATTTTCATTTCTTTTGTGATGAAAAGATGCTAAATAACATATATTAAACTCAGAAAATTTGCTTGAAGGTGTGCCTTTGGAAAGTTTGAGAGATTGGTATGAAAAAGATAGTTTTGTACCGAAATGAGAGAAATTACAAGAGAGGTAGAATCATGGCTCAACTCTTATCATTTTTAACACAAGTAAATCATCAATAACACATCTGAAATCATTGCTTAGAACCCTTAAGAACATGTATTTGAAAAAGGAAAATGAAAGAGAAGGTTGTGTTGTGGCTTACTTGCTAAGCTTTGAACAAGATGGCTCTTCTCTTCCTTTTTCTCCCTCTCAAGACTTCTCTTTTGCTCTCCTTCCTATCCTCTAGGCCGAATGTGTGTGTGTGAGTGTGTTGTTTTGTGTTTGCCATGCTAGGGAGTGGTGGTATTTATAGGCAATTTGGTGTAAAAAAGACATAAAAGCCCACTTGTTGGAATTGGATGAAAAAGTTAGGATTTACTTGGAGTGTAATGGAATAGGAGTGATTAAGGAGCTTAATCATAGGATTAGACAATATCTAGTTGGTCCCTAGTTGAAATGAAACTAGTATTGGAAACAAAACCCTAGGTCTAGGGGTATTAGGTGTTAGGGTTTCTAGAATACCATGATTACCATTCTTGAAAATAGGTTTCTCACATCTTCCTAGGGTGGCCGGCCATTGGGAAGGGTGATGGGGCTATTTTTTTATTCAATTTAGCTACTAGGGACACATCTCCCAATGTGTATATATATAGAGATCTCAATTTGATTGATGGTACCTATAGTATAAAGGTACATGTATTAGTTTGGGAAAATTTTTGAATTTAAATAAAGAAGTAAGGGTTTGAAATTAAATTCATGTATTAGAACCTTACTTATGTAGAATTAAATTAAATTAGGCTAAGGAATCTAATTCAGCTAGGATATTCCTGTTTCGACAAAAACAAAATAAAAAAAATACTAACCAACAAGATTCAAAATAATTCAAGGAACTGAGGGGCTTTAAGAAAATAATTCAAACATTAGGGTTTTTAAAGAGAAAACATTTTTCAAGGGCTTCACAAGAACTATCCTGCTAGTCATAGTGTTAAATGTTTGGAATGTGACAAGTCTGACTTACAAGAATCAATCATTTTTTTTCTTACAAAAATGCAACATGTCATGAACTTTATGTTAATATTTATCCTGCAAACAAGGTAAATGGTGTAGAGATGGTCATTTTCTCCCGCCTTGCCTCGTTCAGGTTTTCCCTGTTGAGGAAGAGGGACGGGAGCTGGTATTGCCTCCCTGCCCTGATTATATTTATATATATAATATAATTTAATTTTTTTTCACTATAATAAAATTAAAATACTAAAATATTATTCTTAATATTAATTTTTACTCATTTATTTTATATTTTATATTTTATAATTCTCATTAAGTATAAATTATTATCTATAATATACTATATTTTCTATAATTCTTTTTGATAAATATTTTCATTCTTTAACTTACAAAATTAACCCATTCCCATCTCGCCGCCCCTAGTATATGATACGGGACAGATTATTACAAACCCGACCCATGACCATCCCTAATATGGTATAAATTTAAAATTGGTGAAATATGAATAACACCCGCAATAAATATAATATTTTGAATTATATTTTGGATTAGGTTATAACTTATAAGGCCTGTGATATGTGCATGTGTTTTGAGCCATTACAACCTCGGAGAAACTGAAATTGCATTCAACAAGAAAATTGTTATTTTGAAATGACAAACCATGTTCTTTCCATTGTGACAAGGTGATGAGATACTCATTCTTGAAAAACTTCCATTTAGTCCAAAGAAAGTTGGCTAAGCCATTTGCAATTATTGAAACCCCCAAAGTCCACTACCATACTCTCTCCAAACCACAAAGACCCAACCAAGTCCTTAGAAAGTATCTAAACTCCAATTCAACCACCAAGGCTCTGTTACTCTTTAGAGACTTATTGAGAAAAAACACTTCTTCAATTGATAGCTTCTCTCTATTGTTTGTCATTAAAGCTTGCACCCAAAAGTCCTTACCCATTGAAGGGAAACAAATCCATGCCCTTGTCATAAACCTTGGCTTTGAACCCATCATTCATCTCCAAACCTCACTCATTGACTTGTATTCTGGTGTGGGAGATATTAGCAATGCACACCATGTGTTTGATGAAATACCCATTAAAAATGTTGTCTGTTGGACTGCTTTGATATCTGGGTATGTTGATAACCAGAAACCCAACAAAGCTCTTCAACTGTTTAGGAAAATGCAGATGGGTAATGTAGAGCCTGATGGAGTTACGTTGACTGTTGCTCTCTCTGCTTGTGTCGATGTTGGAGCTTTGGATATGGGAGAATGGATTCATGCTTACATTCGTAGAAAAAAAGAACTCGACATTGACTTGAGCCTAAACAATGCTCTCATAAACATGTATGCAAAATGCGGGGACATTGAAATTGCTAGGAGGTTGTTTGATAGCGCGAGGAAAAAAGATGTCACAACTTGGACATCCATGATTGTGGGGCATGCATTGCACGGGGAAGCTGAGGAAGCACTAAGACTTTTTGCATCCATGAAAAAGGAAAATAGAAGTGGGAAAAAGAATAATTGTGATCCCGGGAATGGTTTAATCCTCCCAAACGACGTTACTTTCATTGGAGTTCTAATGGCTTGCAGCCACGGAGGGATGGTGGAAGAAGGGAAGAGGCATTTCCAAAGCATGATTGAGGATTATGGTTTAAAACCTAGGCTTTCTCACTTTGGTTGTATGGTAGATCTTTTATGCAGAGCTGGGCAATTAAAAGAAGCTTATGAGTTTATTCTAGGTATGCATGTCAAGCCAAATGCAGTGGTGTGGCGGACTTTGCTAGGTGCTTGCGGTGTTTGGGGCAACATTGATTTGGCTGCAAAGGCTCGTGCACGACTACTTGAATTGGAGGCTAGTCATATTGGTGACAATGTCATTTTGTCTAATATCTATGCTGCCAAAGGTATGTGGGATGAGAAGATAATTGTTAGAGCTATGACGATGCAACGTAGGGCTCCCGGTTGCAGTTCAATAGAAGTTGGAGGTGAAATTAATGAGTTTGTCACTGCTGATGATGAGCATTATATGAAAACAGAAATTTATGAGGTTCTTGAATACTTGATTAAAACAATGAGAGATCATGGTTATGCTCCTGGGCTGTCAAGCCTAGCAGAGTACTATGTATGGAAAAGTGTTGGTGACAATTGAAAGTCAATGCCAGTTGGTTGGTTCTATATCTCTATCAAATTTATCATTAAATAATCAATTGAATTTTTTTTTTTATGATCCCCTGAATTATCAGGTACACATTTTTCTTAAATAAAATGAAATGATGCTTGAAATATTTTGTTGGGATGTATATCCTAGAAATGGTAATGAAATATGCTTTCTTCCTACAAGGATTGCAGCGCAATTGTTTAGGTACTGATCAACCATTTTTAGACTGTAATTTTTTATTTATAACTTCTCCTTTTCTTCCTATTGAGATGCAAAAGCGTGCTTCGATCATGGGTTTGTGGAGAAGAAAAAAAGAATCATTTTCTTTTCCTTTTACAAACCCTCCACAAATCCACGATCCAAATACAACATACTTAAGGTTTTTTAACGTATCTTTTTCAATTGATACTATAACTATCACCTAATCTTTTTTGAAATGAGGTTAATCTTTCATAAAATTTTGTGAATTTTAATTTAAGAACTTTTTCTTTTTCTTTTTGGAAAAATTGCTAAAACAAACAAAAATATAGAGCCTCTTCCTATGTAAGGACCCTAGACAGCAGGCTCATTTGCCTAATGATCAAACCACTATTAAAGCACTAGGAATTGGCATCCTAAATGTTGTGGACAATTTTGAGAAATGGAGTGGGAGATTGGCCTTGTTTGGTTCAGATTATTACAAGCTAAAAATAATCATCTATATCCGTATTTGAAATGGACTTAGTCGGATTGAAATTTAGGCGGATTGTCTACATCTTTTGCAAACTATTAAAAAGCAGAATTGTGACTGGTGGAGTAGTATAATTGTCATACAAGACTTGTTTTGGTTAATACAGCAGTTTCTTTTAGTTCGCCTTTGCAAGGTTCTTCGTGGCTTGGTGTAACCGGCACATGTACTAGCAAAATCAACCTTGGATGCTGGGTAGTCTTGTAGTGTTTGTTCTGTATTTTGAGTTGCTCTGTTCTTATCTAGTTGTTAGTCTATGTTCGTGTGGTATGGTGCATGTACTAAGATTGTAAGTTGCTATGTTGTTTATTAATGCAATATAATCCTTTTCCAAAAAAAAAAAAAA